GATTTCAGCAAGGCCTTTGACACCGTCTCCCACCCCATCCTCATTAAAAAACTAGGTGACTGTGGCATTGATGCCTACAGAGTCACATGGATTGCAGATTGACAGGAGCTGGGTAGAAAATTTACAATGTGCAGTTTTATTTCATAAGTTTAACCTTTTCTTCCTTCTTGCAAGTTATTTAGGAACAGACTATAATTATTAATCTCATGATGTTCACTGTTTTGTAATTGTTTGAGATATAGTTTGCAGGGGCAAATAATTTCAGCCAATTGTTTCAGTACTCGTAATTTGAGTTGCAGGGGCTCTGAAGTCACAGAATGGCCTTATCTTTGTAAAAACTGCATTTGTTCAAAACAAATATTAACATTTGTTTTCCACATGGGTACACTTACACTACACTGCATTTTTATAAGTGTTTTCAAATACATAAAAAAGGAACAAACATTGCTAAAGGAAAATTTGGTTTATAAGGTGCCAAAAGGCTCATAAATAATTTCTCTGATTAGTTTTCTGATTCTTGTCTTGACAAGGGATGACTCAGTAAATTTTAGTAAGTTCTGCTTTTGACTCATTTTAAATTCAGGCGGACGAGGCCAAGAGACAGTAGTATCATGTTTGGTTTAAGGGTTCATGCCATTTTAAAATGGCATGAATATATACATAATATACTGTCTTTTGTTGTACCAGCAAGACCACACATTCTCTTTCAGCATAAAAAGCAGCAACACAAAATGAATATTTGCATGTTGTGGCTACCTAGACTTAGGCTGGAGCTATTATAAACAAGAAAATAACAATCATCTGAAAATGCTATCTAAAATAAAACTACTTTGTGTTAAATTAGAAATACACTTAAAGACGCACTTTGGCAAAGCTCAGGAGTTTAACAGTAACAGTTATTTTAATGTTCACATTTATTGTGGTACATAGATTGAGTCTGAAGTTGCTGGGAACCAAGTTGATACATTTTACTATATGCCAGTACTTTATATTAGGTCCTCAAACTTTAACATTTTAATTTGATTCTCGCTCCATCCTACAGAGTTTTGTGATTATCCAGGTGCAGGCCTTTCTGTGTACCTCTTACTCCTAAGCAAAGATAATGGCTAGGTACAGACATTCAAAAAGCCTGAGATGGAATCAGTCTAAGTTACACAATTTTCTGTAAGCAGCATAGATCAGTAGTGAATAGAACACACATTCGCCCATGGGGGGTGCAAATCTTAGACTGGGTTTCACCATTTTTAAACCAGTGTACATGTGCCAAACTTCTGTTCTGTTATGGGTATAGACCAGTTTCTAATTACTTACACTGGTAAAAGTGTAATATCTATACCTGGCCGAAGATTCACTGCTGATCAGCCCAAGATTGCAGCATATTACAAAGTTTCCTGCTGCTACATTAAGTACTAGAAATGTTGTTAATAATATATATGTTCAAGCTGATATACGCAAGTACATATATCAAGTTGATATCCATGAATTTAAACCCACTGATTTTCAGTGATGCTACACCTCTCTACACTATGTCTGAAATTACTTCTGTTTGTGGAGAGATTTGCAGCCTTGTATTAAGAAAGTTTAGTCTGCTTCTGAACATCACTGTGACATATTCCATCTATTTATATATGTAACTTTTTAAAAGGTGATACAAATAGAAACTGAGGGGAGAACAGACTTCTATATCATGATTCAGGCCATAATTACTTGCAATTACCTAATGTAATTTCTAATGGATCAATATGCAGCTTCTAGTATCTTGCCTGAATATCTCTCCTAATATACGATGAAAATGAGCAAGCCCAAATAGAAAGAATTTATTTAAATATCTTTATTTTACTGAAATATATGACAAAAGTATTAATGAACCACATGCTTTTTCTCCCCTTTAGGGTTGCAACAGTACTACTTATATTCAAGATGCCTTCCAGTTACTGCTTCCAGTTCTGCAGATTTCACATATCCAGAGTAATTGTTGGAAAGCACAACAGTAACAATTTCCCAGCAGTTGTCATCACTGTGTTTAAAAGAACCACAGCTCTAAGCTGTTTAATGTACACAGATGGAAGGGGTGGCACAGAAGGTGTCTGGCCACTGACAGGCCTTTGAGAACACTAAATGCAATTTTGCACAAATTGTATTGAATAATATTTTAAATTCAACTATATGTTCTACAACCAGCTGTAGCTACTAGGATAGGAAACTTCTTTTCTGAAATTATATTCTTTACATTAAACTAAAACAATGTATGTTGAAATTTAGAAGGGACATAAATATTAAATAGGTTGTTAATTTTGGTCCTTTCCATTGTATTTTGAATTCAAATTTGAAAACAGTGTTTTTTAAACATTGCAGTCCAAACACTTCATTTTTAAAAATATATATTTTCAGTGTTATCATCAATTTAAAATGTTTATATTTAAAAGTTAGTTTCTATATTTAATCTTAATTAACTCAAATTAATTTAGTAATTGAGCTTCCCAGTATTATTGCAGTGTCTAATCATTAGCAGTTATGCAGCACTGTGTGTTCAAAGATTTGTACAATATTAACTAAGCATTAACTTTAGCTTATTAAATCTGTGGAAGATAAGAATTATACTGAAATGAAATTGCCTGAGCTCATTTTGGAGTACGGGTATAATCTGTGCACTTCCTAACCCATAATTGTATACTCATATATGCCAGTCCCATTCGTCTCATTGGCAGAAGGCATTATAGGCTAGAGCAAAGGGATTGGCATAGTGCTTGTGGAGTTAGTTCCTAATTACACAGTGATTAAGAAAATTCCTTCACTTTGATTGGCAATAGTCCTTGGAATGCCCAATCTACAGTGTATCTCAGAAGTGTATGCCCATATGTGTGTATGTTATTCACCTCTACAATGAGTCCCTGGATGCAAGTAGTAGACATTTTGAATGGCCACAACAGGGTACATTGCAAGTTACTTTATTTTCCAATGTAGGAAATGTACTACCTCCCACTTCCAAAAGGATAACTTTGTAGAAAAAATGTTTTTAACATAAATTTGATTGAATTTGTGTTTGGCAACTTCTCTTAAAGTGACTTCAGTTATATTGTATTATATAGCTTTGGTATATAAGATGCACCTACATTTTTGGCTTCCTTTTTTAAGGAAAAATTGTGCCTTACACAATGGAAAAAATGGTAACAAGAATCAGCACTGTCAAAACATAAATCTCTGTATTCTCGACAACCAAGGTCTGTATACATATTTTTGAGATGCTCATAATAAGCATATTGCTCCATTTTCTTACGCTGTCATTTCACTTGAAGTCTTCATTTTAAATGACATATATTCACGAAAAGAATTACTGCTAATAGGTTTTCTATACTGTACAAAAAGCAGTGGGAGGAGCTAAGAGAAAACTGAATTGGGTGGAGTGATATGGTCATGAGGTTACAAGTAGAAGCAACCGTTTTTGTTATGGGGACACAGCTGAAGAATTCTAAGGGCAGTGGCCAATTTGAGAGAGTGGATAGCCCATTTCAGTAATAATAGTACTGAATACATTTCTGTAGTAATAATAACCTGCGGGTGCTCTGTGTTAATTTGGTGAAAGCTGTATCTTTGGCTTAATAAATCTTCAGCCTTTAGATACAGAGAGTTATTTAGCCCAAAGTAAACTTATTACCTCACAGACAGGAGAAACTTTCAGTTATTTAAGGAGTCAGTTTTCCTGACTTGTCCTTGTTTATTCTGTTTCTCTCAGCTACCTAGTAATTTGTCATCTTGATGTAGATGTGAGCTCTATTTAAATACTATACAATTGTAGATAATATCTGAATATATTTCTGATTATAGCAGAAATGTGTTGCCATATCATAAAAATAATCAGAGTAGGACACTAGAAAATGTTACTGTATTTGTTAGAAATAGGAATCCATATGTCTGCCAATTGCATGATAACTTTAGGGAGTCTGAAAAAGAGATGACAAAGAGCAGGTCTGTATCCCTGCCTCACATAATGAGGTTCCTATACTGCTGTCACCTGCATAGTGAATATGTTAAATATTTAATAATTTAGAGGCAAGGGTGCTCATTACATGGTCTTGTGGTTTGTTATGCACAATTTCTATTCTGCCATCTAGGATTTTAGCATATTTAAGAAACTCTTCCATAGCAGGGCAGCAGAAAAAGCATAATGTCTTCAAAGTCAGTTGCAAAAAATGGGAAAGAAGTGTGAAACTTGCTCAAAAGAATGCTCATTCTCTTGAGCAAAAATAAAGGGAAAGAAAAGAGCTCCTGGGCAACTGAATTGGCAAACTAAATTTGACATTCATTGTTACTTATGCCATCTTGACCAGTTAATGATTATGCAACATGAAACAAAGGAGGTCACTTGGAAAAGTGGAGATGATACTGTAAAGTCATGAGCAATTTGACTAGCCAGGAAAGTACAGTTATGCCCCTAACAACCATTTTGTCCCAAGTCTTCCCTTCAGAGAAAGCTTTGTTTTCAAATACAAGTCCTAAAACAAGAGAAAATTAATTCAGACTACTGTGTACTAACCATCCCTGGTTTCCCCAGCTTCTGCCAGTTGCAAGTGGGAAAGGTTCACATGCCTCTTTTTTTGATAGACTTTTCTAGCTGCTGTGGGGAGACACACACTAGTGTTTCATTGAACCTGAATTATGCTTGCGTGTTACCTGACCCAAAGACCAAAAGTATAGTCATGTGCAACTGCAGTTTCGGGTTTTAAAGGGACATGTCTCCAGTGTCCACACTGAGTTAGATGGATGCCCCCTAAGATCCAGTGTCCTTTATAGATACCTTATTGTTTAAAGCAGTATTTGTGTCCAGTTTATATGTTGTCAAATTAATATATAGTGAATGGTTAAAATCCTGGTTTAATTTTAAAGGGAGAATACAAAGAAAAGTAAAGTACTTATATTTACCTTTTCTGTGCCTTAGGTGTAGATGTTATTTTGACTTTTAAATTAGTTGCCCATACATTTTAATTGACAAGCTTTTCAATCCAAATCAAACACAATAGAGGTTTGCATGCAGCCTCTGTAAATGTGTTGTTGCTTCTACATGAATAGTTTCTATAGGTTATTATGAAAGTTTCATATTACCCCCATGTTTAAGTTAATTTTCTTGGGCATAAATGAGTCTAGGCCTCTCTCTTAAATTGAAAGTAAGTATCTCAGTTTTACTTTGGAATCCAATATAAGATACACAGAGTTAATCCTCTTGAAGAAGCCCTGAAGGGAGCATTGAAAACTCATTGTCTGATAAGAGTCTTTTAACTAAAGGTTGAACAAAATTGAACTGGATGCCTTAGGGGACACTGTAAAGAGTTGTCGAGGGAAATGATTTAAGACGGGATTGCTTATCTGAGGTGGTCCTTTTACAGGTTTCCTTGTACCACTTAAATTATACATATGGTGAGTCAGTGCTTTGCCCTTAAGTGAAAAGAGGCAAAAAGAAAAAGATAAATAAAACTATATATGAAGTTCCTAGTAAAAAATTCATTTAAATACCCTTTTAGGAAAGGAAGTATACAGGGCAGAGTATTCGCATAAAGGTACTGCATCTGATCTTGGGGCATAGTAATATCTTCCTATAATAAATATCATGAAATCATGAATGAAATCTTAAAATCAATTTTAGATAAGTATGCCAGTAGTAAAGATACAACTTCAAACAAATACTGGATTTCCAGCATTAAAATATTTTGTCTACAGTGATATGTGTTCTTTATGGTAAAAAAGCAATCAGCAGTGTTTTTTATCTCTGAGGCTCAAACTAATGGGAGCCCCAAATAAGATGCAGAACTTTAAGGAAGCACTAGAAAATAGAGGGGGGAAAGTAGGGAACACTAACCTGATGACCAGATGGACTCATAAGTCTTCACCCTCTGCTTCTGTGATTTACCTTTATATACAACCAAGAGTAGAATCTGGAACAGAGTTTTTAGGAAGAGTATACTTGCTTTCATTGCCTTCTTTTCCATAACCCAAATACCTTGTGTGCCTTCAAATCCATCAAACTATTAATAGGCTTGGCAGGATTTGCTTATCAATAGACATCAATAAACATGTATGCACACACAGAGCAGCCACCGCATGACCTGGGGGCCATGCCAGTAAGGATGTGCTGGGAGTGGGGATTGGAGGGGCAGGACTGGCGGCCTTCTATGACCAGGTCGCCAAATCCTTAGATGCAGGGGTAGCAGTGGACGTAGTCTTTCTGGACTTTAGGAAGACCTTTGACACTGTCTCTCACCCCGTTCTCATTAAAAAACTGGGGGACTGTGGTGTCGACACCTACACAGTCAAATGGGTTGCCAACTGGCTGGAGGGCCGCACCCAGAGAGTGGTGGTGGACGGGTCATTTTCGACCTGGAGGGATGTGGGCAGTGGGGTCCCCCAGGGCTCAGTCCTCGGGCCCACACTGTTCAACATCTTCATCAATGACTTGGACAAGGGGGTAAAAAGCACCCTGTTCAGATTTGCTGATGACACTAAGATGCGGGGGGATGTGGGCACACTAGAAGGGAGGAATAGGCTGCAATCAGACCTAGACAGGTTACAGGGGTGGGCAGATGAGAATAGGATGGGTTGCAACACTGACAAGTGCACGGTGATGCACCTGGGGAGGAAGAACCAGCACCATACCTACAGGCTGGGGAACTCCCTTCTCGTCAGTGCAGAGGCAGAAAAGGATCTTGGAGTCATCATTGATGCCAAGATGAACA